AGTGCACTGGCCGCACCTCCATTCAGATCAACGCATCGATTCAGGATTTGTGACAACAGCGGCACAAGTTCCTCACCGTGTTCGGGCCAACCCTCGCAAATACACTTTATCGCCTGAGCGCACGTCACATCCGAATGCCAGTTACGATCTTTCTCCATAGTATCCATTAGAGCAGTGGATATGAAGCGATAGCAACGTGGCTCCTTTTCCAACGCTTTTATGTAAAGCTGGATTGCGAAATATTTCAGTGGTTTGCCGCTATTCAGCAATGTGTCTAATGTGTGGATAACGATCGGCAGGTTTTCCTTAGTCATAGCAAACTCGGGAACAGTCAGTAACAGATATTTCAATGTGGAGCTATCATGAGCCTTAGTCAATTTGTGTAGCAACAGCGATAATACGTGGGACGCGAAGGAATTGATCTCTCTCGCTATTTGCACGAGAATATGACAGACTTTTTGGACAACAAGAGGTTCATCGCTGTGCAAAAAGATTCCACATAATACCAGTTTGCACATGTATCTCAGATCGATCGGTGCGAGCGACAAGTTCTCCAACCATGATAGAGTATTATTTTTCAGAGAATATAGACTGCGAATGAGTTCCATATAAAATTCAATGTATCTATTGCTATAGCTAAATATGAGCAGCATCTTGTTTGATATAATACCGTTACTATTATCCATTTCCTTTTGTGACATTGTCTTGATTAACAATTCTTTTGCTGTTACTAACGCATCAGCACATAATAACGACGGATAGGCCAACCATTTTAATAAGGATGCAGCTAACGTATTTAATATCGTAACGTGACATGGCATTTTATTCACAATAACTGCACCTATCAAATTGATTAAAATTAAATCTTACAATTTCTTTAAGTAATGTTGCTGCTTTTAAAAAAATATGATTTTATAAAATAAATGTTTTATATAAATATAAAAGTGAAATGGACTATATATATAGATTTACTTCATAAATATACTTACATATTTGGAGGACGTTAAATAAATAAGCTGCAGGACATATCAAAATGATTTCTGCCATTAAAACTAGCGTAATATTTCCTATATAGTTGTAACAACATTCAAAGAGATCCAATATCATGCAAAAATTTTGTGTTGGTTCATGACCGTATTCCAAAAGCTGTATCGTCAAAGAAGCGATTAAAGGTATTAATGCCGTACAAAATTCTGTGTCTCTTTTTAGCAACATCATATCCGCAAGCTCAAGAACTCGGCAATTCGCATCGATGCAAGTGTCCGCTCGATTTGTGCATAACCAGAGTAAGATCTCTGTTCGTAAATCTGTAGTGTTACTTGATTTCATTAAAAGTTGCCATGTCTCCCGTTTACAGCTTTCACACATATCCATGGTAGGATTACATAATATGTGCACGAATACAGGTCGCAATAACTGTACACTTTGCCCCATAACACTGAAATTTGGATAAACCAAAATTTAATAGCGTTTTCAATGTGCTTCCATCTCAATTATACAAGCTGGAAAAATTATTTTGGACTAAAAAGATTTCAATTTATATATATATATTTGTCGTGATGATACATGATGAACTTCATTTGATTCAGCACAGCTCTCCAGCTGAACTTTTCCTTAATCAAGATCGCAATAAATGGATGCTGAGTAGGGACGTCGAGAGTATATTCATTGCATCTATTATGTGATTTCCAATCTAATATCAACAGTCGACTTATTGCTACAGTAATCATCTGATAATTCCTAAAATTTGTGATAATAATACATGAATTGAAACAAATAAATATCATGTCTAAAGAAAAATAAATAACATTAAACATTAACCCTTCGTTTAATATGTATATACATACTTTGAAGAAGATAAGCATGCCATGAATGTTGCTAATGCAGACTTGACGTCCCACAATCCAGTCTCACCAAGCACAAACAACGCTTGGCACGCAGATGTACTAACTATAGAATCATCACTGTTGCATTTAGTTGAAAGTAATTTAAATTCTGATATCTACAAAAAAAAGAAAGAATTCTTTCTGATTGCCTCAATCAGTTTGGATATTGCCTGTAGAAAAGACAATTGAGTATTCATATAGTTACAATATAAATGCAAATGTGTGATTATAGTTATCTTTGCCATTCTTACATGTGATATCAAAGTAGGATTTTGTGATCTCAATTTGTAATCGATTTCGTTCATGTTTTATGCTTATATAGGACTATTTTTTAGAAATTATGTTTCTTTCTGAAAATTATAAAATTTTTTGTAAAAAGAGAACGTTTATATTTATATAAATATATAAATGATTCTCTCAAGATGAATAAAATATATATTTGATATCCTTGCATTTGCCTCCTCCAATTTTGGAAAATAATTAAATACTTATAACCTAATTTTCTGGATTATATATGATACACTTATACATTCTCGAGACGCGAATGAAACACAACATCCAATTATAAGATTAATTTCCTAGATTTAGTATTTATTATCGTGCAAGTTATAAATTATAGTTAAACTTGGATTTTCATATATAATGACCTTTGTTTTCCAGATTTAAAAAAAAAACGAGGTTAAAAAGTAATACAGTGCACTTTATCATTAGATAAAGAAGAAACGCAAAGATGATAAAATATTAACGGATGAAATATGAATATCTCACATATTTTGTACATACAAAGTAACAATGCTTTCCAAGAATGAAAGCATGGAACTATATAACCTAACTTTTATTACCCGACTGATCATCCGACAGGTTTAATGAAATTACAAAATCCTAAAATTCTAAATTACCTAATTTAATTTTGCATTGAGGATTCATTTATATGTATGATTAATTTTGCGAATTTTTATATTAAAAAATGTTTTGTGACTGTTATAAGAAAATAAATAACAATGTCGATAATTATCTATAACACATATTGATAATTTTTTGAAACGCAGATTTCAATTCTCGAAAATATCTAAGTTATGAAGAAAATTAATTCGAATAAAAAAAGATATTTAATTATATTTTCTTTATATAACAGATATTTTTTAATTTTTAAACATTTCACAAAATATCATCAATCAGTAAGTTGCCGGCTTACTATCGATAATTACAGATATTTATTAACGTTATAATAAAAATTTAAATTAAAAGTCAACCAAGTCTTACATTTAGAGAAATATAATCAGCAATACAAGAAATAGACAAATGAATAAAAAAATTAAAATGTCTAATTCTTTTTAATTCTCTTCTCTATTCTTAATTGATTTAGTACTTCTCTTTTCTCTCTTATATGTATTATATTCCCAATGCTTTTTAAAAAGTGTAAGAATTTTATCATACTGTATAGATCATTAATTTACTTTAATTATTTTAATTATAAATTTTTTAATTCTCTGCTGGATATTACAAGTAATGAAATCAGATAACTACAGAATTAGCTGATGTTTTCATGATATGATGTCTGTATGGAAACTATTGATACTGTATGTATAAGACACTATAAGATATATAGGATGCTTTTTCTTTTATCTATTAATTTAATATTTTCATATACGCACATATATATATGTATGTGTATATATATATACACACACATACATACATATATATATATATCATGAATTTCAATCATCAATGCAATCCTTTGAATCTAATGATAAAGTGAACCACATGATTTCTTAATTTCGTCTCTCACAATCTGAAAAATAAAGATAGTGAAACAAAAAATAAAGGCAGAGATGTTTGAGATTTTTGAATATATTTATTTGTATGGACAAGTTGGAGCATAGTGCACAATATATTTAATATATAGTAGTCTGAGGAAGGGGGATCAGAGTACATTCTGGAGTTTGAACACAATATCTTACAATTTAACGACAAGATGCCTGCATGTTTTTTTTTCTTCTTCTGCACCTGTTTCTCTGTACGTTATGTTTACTCGTATATTCATATACTCGAGATGTATAATATATAAAGCGTAACGACTCACTATTTTTATCATTCTAAAAAAAGGAGACGAGAATAAGGGTCCTTGTTTATTATGTTATATGTCTCAGTTCTCTTAGCATCGTTTACCATTCGCTTCTATCCACTCTCATACCTCTATTATACGTACATACATGCATACGCGCATCTATATATAATTCATCCCTTTTGTTTCACACGATTTTTCTCTTCCTTTTCGTCTTTTACTTTCTTCCTCTTGTTCACTCTTTCTTCTTTCTCGCCTGATACTCTCACGATTGATTATGCAACGTCCTGGCAAATATACGTAGTACTCGCTATAGTGTCGTATTCTCGGACACGGAGGTTGTCTCCAATTGCTAATTACATACGCTCCCTATTACACTTGGGCGAGTTGCGCGTCCCAGGGGGTTTCTCATTCCCACGGGGCGAGCGGGGGCCGACAGGAGGAGTGCGAGGGTAGCGAAGACCGACCATCCACGAAGTTGTAACCCGTTTTCCAGTAATGTGCGATTCGCGTAAAGGTGCAATAAAGCTCTTTGAGCTTACGAGAGACGATGACGACTCTCACCATCTTTCTCTCCTCATATCTTTCTCCTTCTACGTATATCCCCTAATTAGCGATTAACGATCTATATTAAAATTCTTTTTTCCTTGCTTACTGAAAGCGAATACATTTTACAGCCTGTACAGTTGAGTGAAACGACGCGGCGCACTCGTACATTCTTCTTCTTTCACTCTCATATTCTCCATTTCTCATTTTTCTCTCTCTCTCTCTCTCACTCACTCACTCACTCACTCACTCACTCACTCACTCACTCACTCACTTTTTCTCCCTTTTTTTTCTTTCCTTTGCACCTCCGTTCGCGGAGGCAAACGCGGACCAGGGTAGGGTCCAGGTACTCAAGTTATCTCTCTGCGTGTTGCTTCTCATTCTTTTTTCGCATTTTTTTTATATTTCTTTTATACTCATGGAGATCTCGTAGAATATCGAGTCCCTCGATCGTTTCGTGTACTCTTTCTTTCTCGGGTTCTTTCTTTTCTTTTATTTGCTTTTTTTTACAAAAATCACAGAGCAGCACCAGCATTTATTTTTTTTAAAGCCCACCCCTTCGTCCGCTGGGCGCCCCACTAAAACTGAGGCGAATCATTTTTTATTTCTCTCATTCATTCGCATATACGCACACAATACACGCGCACATATATACACAAAATGCATACAACAAACAAAGCATTTACACGTACATCCTCTCGCTCACATAAGTGCGTGCGCGCGCGCTTCTCTATCGCGGTTTCGCTTACATTCGGCAAAATGGATGCATTATGTTTTGCCCTGCTCCTCCATTCCTTCATTTTATTAAATATCTTTTTTTTTCTCCCCTGCAATGTGAAACGCATCATCAGTCGTATCTTTTGATTTGGCATTTGCGAAACGCTGCCCAATAAAATTTCTTGTACCGCCGTTATCTTTCTCTTCTCTTTTTTTCCCTCTTATCTCTCCGTACCTTACGTCACACTGACGATAGTAATAAAATAATATAATTAATAATCAATAATCGCATATAATATATATAAAATGGATGACGATAGTAGTTACTGAACAAACATTATGTAGTTTATAGATACATATATATATAGTTGCGTATGCATACGTAATTATACGTTTCGCTCCTCCTATTTACCTCACTCTCCAGACCTCGCCCCTGCACTTCTCCTCAACCCCTTGTCCCCTTTTTTTTCTTCCCCTAGCTCTCGCGCATCACTGGCTACCATTACCTTAGTAAACAAATAGCGTTCTAGCATCGAATTTACAGTCACTTAACGCCACTTAATTATTTAGAATCAACGCATTACGTGTCGCCTCATTTTTTCATTTTTCTTCTTTTGTCGTCCTCGTGACTTTATAAATCGTTCATGCCTAAGGACGAGTTCCCTCTGGTCGCGTTTATCGGCATTTAGCGATCGGTCAACACACAATTATGAATTCTTCATTTCCCTAAGAGATAAATTATCAGCAAAGTTATACAATTTCTCTACAAAAATCGAAGTTTGCGCACGCCTAAATTCTTTGTCTTATTTCTTTACAATAAAATACATCGATACGGAATCTATACGCACGCACATCCACACGCATGCATTATGCTTGTACAAGGCAGTCGACGCACGTGATTCACTACTCTCTTACATCTCTCGTATACCCTATATATAATCGTTATAGATATATTTTTTGTCTCTCTCTCTTACATATATGCACACGCACACGTCTACACGCGCTCGCTCGCACGCTCTTAAGCTTCTCTACGCTCGATAAAAATTCCACCTCGCCTCGACACACACGCTCGAGTCTGAGAGTCGGGGGCGGAGCCGCGCTCGCACCCGGCACGCGTTAATCCACGCTCGCCGCAATTTTTGCCAGCGCGGCCCCGTGGACGCAAGAACGCCGACAGTGCCGTTCGTCCTCGCGTGCTTCAGTCTAACGAGACGCCTGCTTCCTCGCGAACCGTCGTCGCGCATCTTCCACACCTCGTTCCGATGGATGGACCGCGCGGACCTCCCTCAGCCTATCCTAACTTCGGGTCCCGAATGTCGTTTAGTTAATACTTCTCGGATCTGCAATTCTCCGTTCCATTCCGAGCTACCGGTCCCACAAGGTCTGTTTAGATCTAGACACTAGAAAGAAAAGAGAAACCGAGCGTTACCCAGAATCAGCACATGTCAAACGAGGAATCAATGATTTTTTTTAGATGGCACTGAGCGAATCCAGTCCACCGAAACGAGGCAACCTTTCGCTCGATCCCGCTCGAGGACCCTCATTTCATGAGATAAATCGTACCCCTCGAAACTTTACAGGTCTCAATTTACGGGCTAAGATCGAGCTACTAATCACTTATTCTTACACTAACTGAAGGCGTCTGTACATTATGCGGCGCGTGTTCCTTAGATATACACTATGTACATGAAGAAGGATATCCAGCAAACTGGTTTTGTCTGCGCGAGAATCGTGAATCCGCAATGGACATATGTGGCATCACGATACTCGGGGAGTGTGATAGGAGGAAATTCGTCCTCTCGTCGCGTGAGCATCGGTCCGATAGTTCGATACACCCGAAGGATTGCTTACTCACGATCGTCTCGTCGAGCCTACTACTATCTGTCCAGATTGATCAGAAACAACTCTGTCCGGGAATATGGACAACGTATTTGTGCGTCGAATCGAGTTCAGTCTCTTATCTTTCTCACGTCTTCTAAATTCGATATACATATAGTACTTTCCGCGTTTGCGCCTGATTTGGAAAGTCGTGAATCTTCGCGATCCATCAATCTTCCTGATTCGTTTCAACCTTCTAATATCATCACTAATCATGATTTACAGTTTGCTTGCATATACAGAATTCCTAATTCAGCCTAGCTCGCAGGGACATGAATAATACTACATAGAGCACCGTGTATCACATTGCCCTAAAGTTCCAGTTAGCGTTATCAAGTAAGTGAACAGCACACTATTCTTATTCCTCTTTTCCTGGCTATCACATAGGAGTTTTAATATTTCATCTAGTCTTCAGTCCCTAATACTTGAACCGTTGTTGGGAAGAGGAACGATAGCACCCGTCATCTTGGTCATCGCTTCGTGGTCCTAACATCTCAACTAGTTTTTCTGGGATCCCAATTTCAAACGACATCGAGAGAACGGGCGGTACAGAGTAGGTAAAGAACATCCCGGCCTCTTTACCGGCTACACTTTGGTCCTAATGGTTTCTCCTTGGTTCTAATCCAGCCGTACAATGCAGTATGGAAAATACGCGCGGCATCCTGCTCAGTATCGGCTACACCGCTCGCTCGCTCGTGTCCATGTCTCCTACGGTTGCCTGCCGCCCCCGGCGGCGGTGCCGTGCGGGTGTCCCGCACCGGGCGCGCCGCTCGCCGCCGCCGGATGCGTGTGGTGGGCCTGTGCGACGGAGTTGCCCCCGGCGGTTCCGCCGGGCAGGACGGGGGCGGGGGCCGCGGGTCACTTGGGCGGGAATGGCGAGATCACCGAGGCGGCTACCGCGGCGGCCTGCTGACTCGCCAGCACTGCCGCTGCAACACACACAGAGAGACAGCAGGCCATTAATGTTTCGTCACGATTACTCTGAAGCATCTACTAAACGCGCGCGTTTGCTTTTTCTAGCTGTTGCTGTTGCTTTGCTGTTCGGACGATGGCGACCCGCGGCACCCGAAACCGTGATCTAATGCGAAGCGCATTTCGGGCTATTGAGGACCAAGAAGGGAGAGATCAAGATTCGTCATCAGCTGAGAAAAATTCTTCTCATTGCCTGTACGATTGGTTTGTATTACGTAATACAAACTAATGAGCGTATTGCATTTGGTGCAGAAAAGGGGTTGAAGATTTGGAAACCGTTTGAGAACAGAATACTCCATACTACTTCTAAGTCAGAAAACGAGGAAACATCAGTGATTGAATGGCTATCTAATAGCGAGTCCAAGAATGATCGAGGAGCATTGATTACCGATCGTCTATGACATTATGATATAAATTCAATAAGTTATGCTAATTAAAATAATCATAAAATAATACAGAAGTTATATAAGAAATATAAGTATTATATGTGATTAGAGAGAGAAAGTATCAACTTCAGATGAACTTTCTCCTGATGCTAACTAAGATTCACACTATGTTACTTAATTATAATTACATGATCCAATCTTCACACTGCATGTCTTTGCAATCTACTCGATGCCATTATTAATGTCCCTAAATCCTGGCAATTGATTTTTAAGTTGCTCATCTGGTAAGTGGCGATAAGACACAGCAGAAAGTGTATCTGTTATAAAAATTGGCAAGCTCTTCGAGACAGGATCTTCGAGACGATCGTTAACGAGTGCAATCCTCTAAGAAACGTATCGTGTCCTCAAGTTCAACCGCGCTCGAGAAACCCGTATATTCGAGATATCTAAACACCGAGCTAATTCCATTACTACTCGAGGAAAAATGACGACGGATATGTGTGTGTGTGTGTGTGTGTGAGGATTGGTGGGAAAGCATACAAAGTGGCGTGTACCTAAGCGATTGTTTTTTCTATCTCCCTCGTTCTTATTTTTGTCTCAATGATATCGTACCTACAATGCATTCCCTAAGTCGCGTGATTTGCGGACTTCCCTCGTTCACGCGAAAGTCCTGGCAGTGTTGGCTCCGTAAGCGTACACTTGGTCGATTAAATTCGCGGATTGGCGATCGTTTTCTGAGTACGAAAATGTCGTTAATATGAAGCATATCGTAACAGTAAGAATAACAATAAAACGAAGTTTGACAGTGCAGAACTGTATGCATAAAAAGATTAAAGTCAAATTTTTAAATTGGTAGCTTATCTGGAGAGAGAGAGAGAGAGAGAGAGAAAATTCTAGACAGAGAATTTTATATTCCAGTGCTGCCACTCAGTCACTCAAGTTACTTTTTATCATCTTTTTTGACAAATCATTAAAGTCACTACTGTCTAAAATGGATCACTATGGTTTTTTTCTTGAGCATAAAATTTGTAAAACATAAATATTCTACACTGTTAAAAATGTTATGAAATTTGATGTACTTTTAAGTTACATAAATTAAATTCAATTTTATGACACTAAATTAAATTTTATGTTCGCTGTAACTAAAAGGTATATTTGTGTACATGTACATGAAATTTAGTGTTTCATGAAATTTTACAAAGTTTAGTACATTTTTAATTAAATTTTATGCAGATTTGCATAAAATTTAATATAAGTAAACGGTAAATTTAAGTTACTTGTAACTTCATTTTCATTGACAACATTAAATATTTTTAATGTACCTGCTTGAAATTTGTTTCCATTAGTCGTTAATGGAAGCAAATTTCTGTTTTTTAACAGTATATTTAATAAAGAAACGTCACTTTTGATTACTATTATAATGCCTGAAAGGTTATCTTTTCGGTTTTTCCATCAAAAAGCCGTCACTATTTCACTTTTTTTTATCTGACGACTAGATGGTAACGCTAAATCCAAATTCATTCGTTCTATCTCGGTTCTCTATTTTTTTCAATAAGCAGAACTATTTCGTTTTTCCAAAGAGATGGAGAACATGTATTGCATTTCTGTTATTTTCTACGAACATGTCTTTGTACTTCGATCTTCGAAATATAAAAGAAAAGAAAAAGATTGGCGGAAAAAAAGATGAAGAAAAATACCACCTTTCTGACATACATAAAGTTAATGATATATTCCCGTAATATTGTTAAATTTATTGAAAGCTATCAAGAAATTACTTTGAAATTTAAAAATAGTTGCTACCAAGTAATAGACAGTCAGAAAATGATATTTTTAGAAGTCGCAAACGACATTCTCGTAACAGAAATCGTACACCACCGTGACTGAAAATCAAAACTATAAAGTCCTGATGTTATTTTGCTGCAAAAGAAGCTTTTGTGGAAGACTACTGAGGTCTAACAAAGGATACATACATGGATGCAAACGCGAATACATATCGCGTTTACAAAAGGATTGAATGTTACAAATTAAAAAGAATCTAAATGCCAAAATTTGTAAAACGCGGTAAACTTGAAAATAATATATTTTATTTCTATATTCGATAATCAATAAAGTTATATGTATCCGATATTCGCAATTATAGGAGATGAAATTATTAAATTCTATTTTAAGGCTGTGAATAAAGTTACCATTATCGTTAAATAAGAACAATAAGAATCTAAATTGGACCATACATGTGAAAACACAAATAGGAAGTAAAGGCCCATAACGGTCGAAGCATTATCGTTGAATGTTTAAGAATTATATGGGCTCTTTTTATCATTAAAATTCTTTTAAATTATTATTCCCTTTGGCATGTAGACTTTTTAATTTGTTCAATTAGAAACTGCGTTTTCCTCGCAAATGCCACAATCAATATCAACATCAGTGTTAGCATTGATAACCATATCAAGCTCGATGAGGTCATTATCGTCATCGTACTATTACACGCGAGTGCCCATCACCCGCAGTCGGATGATCTCGCCCATAAAATCCTGTTAACTTTTTTTCCGCCCCGGAAAGAAGCACGATAAATAATTATCACAGTCTGAACTATACGTCTAATCCCTACTTGCGCCCTACTTGCGGTACACAGCTTACATGACTAATCTACACACGGCCGCAATTATACCTCATTATTTCCAAAATATTCAATTCGTCGCTAGGAGACTCGTTACATACGTATGTATATATGTATAGATATACAGAATGTTTCAGGTGTCGTGCGCTTTCTCTCAACTACAGACATTAGTCGAATAGATATCTTTTTGAATTCAAGACCGTAAATATTTAACGAATGAAATGACAGATGTCATTTAAACAAAAAACCAAATTTTCTCTTGCGTTTAAATTAAGTTTATATCATAAGCTTTTTGAATATAAGGTATTTAATACTACATAAAACTGAAAAATGAGATATCTCACCAAGGTAAATTGATTTAAATCCGTAGTGGATGGAACGTGCACGAGATCCGCGACCGATATATATATATACGTTCAAAAAATGCAACGCTATAGCGCGAGCGAACCATATCGCTCCTCCCTCGCGTCCGCAGAATGTACAATCGAAGATAAATTAATTACAATTGTCGTTTGAGTCCTCAACGCGGGGCCCAAATAGAAGAGGTTCAATCGATATTCACACATTTTAATATTTTTGTCTTTGTACAAAAGAAGAAGCGCGTCTCTTATTGGTCTGGTAATAAAATAGTACCTCGACGGAGACTCTGCGCGCGGATCGACTCTCTCGAACGGAGAGGGCTCCTGCCACGCGAGTTCCTTGTTGCACATCAAGATCCACACGTATTTTTCTTTCCTTTTTCTTTCTTCTCAATTTTTATGCACCAATATGGTGTACGGTTTAGACACTCAGGCTCTAAATAATATCTAGCCGAGTTTTACCCGTTTTTGTCGGACAATATTCGTCCGGATTCGTCCCGAAACTAAAATTGGCCGTTCACCGTTTCTTATTCATCATTGAAGTCATTTTTGTACTGTCCAATTTGACCTCGAACCGAAAATATATCAGTGTGCAAACGCATGTATTTAAAACGCACTTACAATCGCATCGCATTGTACACTTAAAATGCTTTATAGAGGCCGGCTGTTAATTTCGTTCACGGTGTCATTTCAAAGAATTTAAGATTTAATAAAAAGCCTACGAATACCGAGAGTTCATGTCTCGGCTATTTACTGCGTTATCGCAAACGCGTCGCACCTTCAAGTTTAAGCGCATGATCCTGAGAGTTCACCTTCATCATTCGTAAAACGCGGTCTATTGCAAACGCTAGGCACCCCTCAACACGCTTTCGACTCGCTTCGTCGTCATTCATCCTTAAGAGTTCACCAGAGAACGCGGCACGCCAACGACGTAACGAACAGGTCCTAAACGGTCCTAACGCATATATGCGTTCGTTTTCACGCCATTACGCTCATGCTTCTCTCTCGTTCTTTCTGGTTCTCGCTTCACTGGGTCCCGCGGGTCGCCTTACTGTCAGGGTCTGACGAGAGGCTTACCTCCGTAGGGGGCGGGGTACTGTCCCGTCAACAAGGGATACCCGAGGCCCACGTGAGTGTGATGATGCGTGTGCACGTGTCTCTGTGGAGGCGGCGATCTGTTATCCTTGCCGAGGCTTCCACCACTGGCATCCACCGCACCTTGTTGCTGCTGTTGACTGCCCGGTTGACCCTGCTGCTTGCCGGACGGCTGTTGACCTTGGCCCGGCGGTGGGCCCGGGCCTGCAACTGACGTAGGCGGACCGCTGGGGGGCCGGGCGGGGGTCGGACCCGCCGAAGATGGGCTGGCGGACGCTGCAGAAGTCTTGGGCGTCGGTGATTTGAGCGCGCGCTCCTGAAGCTCATGTATCTTGTGCGCCGAGTAATACTGATTAGCGTGGTGTTGGAGCAAGTCCAGCGCTTTGCCGCCGGGTGGCCGACTAAGGTCCTCCGGCGCGTGATACCTAGGCAGCTGGTGAAGATAGGGGTTACTCGAATATGGACCGGGCACCAGCATGGGGCTGAGGCCACGGTAGACTGGGTGACCTGGATCGAATGGCAGCGCACCATAATGCTGTGGCTGCATATAACTGGGATGAATATAAGCGTACTGCGAGGTAGGCGGCGGCGGCGGTCCCTGAGTCTCCATCGTCGGCTTTACGCCCTCCTGCTTGCTCTTTGAGTCTTCACTCTTTCCGAGATCCTGTGGTTTTTCCTGTTTCGGCTGATGCTTTGGACTGGGCGGTGGCACCTTTGCTTGTTGATTCTGTTTGTTTGATTCCTCTTTTCTCCTTTGTTCACTCGGATACAGATAATACCTCCTGTCATCTTGAACAGGTCCCGGAGGAGGCGGCGGCGGTGCCGCTCGTTGACTCTGCGAACTGTGATAAACGTGGTACGGACTCATCTGACTCTTCATCTCGATACTCTCCTTGAGTATCTGATGATTTTCGTGTTGTTTGTCTTTCAGACTCGGCTGTGGCTGTGGCTCCTGCTTAATCTTAACCTTCTGTTCATGCGACTCCTGATCCTGCGACTGCTGACTCTGTTGCTGCTGTTGCGAAACCGGCTGTGGTGGCTGGTAGGCGTAGCCTGGCGGCATATAACCACCGTAACCGCCATAATAGTGCGGCTGCTGTTGCGGCTGCGGTACAGGTTGGCTCAGTTCTTTTTTCTCCTTTTCCGACACGACACTCTGCAAGCTCGCCATCGAAGGCATCTGCGGTATGTTGAGCGGTTTTATCTCCTGCTTGGGCGTAAGATCGCTCGGCTTCTGATCTACCACCGGTTTGCTGTCCGGAACGTTGGACACCAGGTAAGGCGGCTGACCATAGTACTGATACATACTGAAATGCGCAGGCAGATGCGCTGGCACCGTGGCCTTGTTGTCTTTTTCTTGACTCTGTTTGGATTTGTCCACCGGTTCGGCCTCGAGCACTGGCGCTGCGTCATCCGATATGTCCGAGTAGGCCGGGCTTTGTACATCATCACGCGCCGAATCGACGATCGGCGCCTCGAGAGGCGATGGGTGCGGACTGCCACCGGGTGATTTTCGTGATTTTTTCTTGTAGCCCTGCGGTTTGGGAGCGCGTGCATCCGCGCTCGTTTTGCTCTTGTCCTGCTCCGGCATCAGCGCAGCCGTAGGTTTCACCTTGAACTGTGGTATCTTCGCTGCAGCAGCGTGCAGCGACACCGCAGTTGGGTACTGTTGCAAGTGCGATTGCACGCCCTGACCTGGATGACCTGGCGGTGGCGGTGCCGTCTGTAAACCCGCTGCCTGTTGCGACACTTGGCTTGCAAGATTCTGCAAACCCGCGTGTTGACTGGCTATACTTTGTAGACTGGCCTGTTGCTGTAATCCAGACGGCTGCACCACATGGGCCTGTGCCGGCTGACCCAACTGAGCTGACAAGGGATGCTGCACCGATTGCAATTGATGCGCCGGCGGCAACTGTTGTTGAACCGATGACTGCAGTTGTTGTTGCTGCTGCTGCTGCTGCTGCTGCTGCTGCTGCTGTTGCTGCTGC